CAAACCCAGGTGTGAGGGGGAGGCGTCAGGGAGGACACCGTAACTGGAGATGGAGGGGCGTGAGTGAAGGGGAGGACTCTGGGGGGAGCATATCTGAGGGGCAGGATCAGTGTCCAGGGTAGGAGATGTGGACCCTGGGGGGCTGCTAGAAATGCAGAGGGAATGGTGCGCAGTCACCCCGATGAGCCAGGAGTTAGGAGAAATGTCTGGGCTGGAGGAGCAGATTTCTGAGCTGACGTCACACACTGAGAACCCCTGAGGCCCCACGTGGTGATTCACTAAGAAGAGAGAGGACAGGGACGAGCCTGGGCAGGGCACACTCCCAGAGCAGACTGGACACATACCCAGGAGCATGCCCATGCGCTGTGCGGTGACTCGGTCCTCGGCTTTATTAGAAGCCGCCCCGTGTCCCCCACCATGGCTGTGTCCCCTGTCCCTCCCCCCGTGTGTCCCCTGTCCCTCCCCCCGTCCCCAACTCTAGGAGCACAGCACAGCTCCGTGTCCCCGTCGGCACTTGGCACTGCAGCTGTGTGGACGTGAGGAACTCCAGTCGGTGAGTGATGGCACGTCGGCGTCCTCACTCCCAGCGCCCAGTGAGGAACGACCACGAGCACCTTCTCACGTCCTCACTTGCCGTCTGTCTGTCTTCCCTGGAAGGTTTCCGTTCAGACATTTGCTCATTTTTAAACTAGGTTGTTTTCTGATTGTTCAGTTTTAAAGCTCTCTATTCTAGATGCAATCCTGTATCAGAGAGAATTACGAATATTTTTCCCCAGTGTGTGGCCTTCACTGACATAAAACACATTAACGTGCGGCCAGCAGGTGGCAGAGTGGTTAAGGCAGTGGACAGTCACGTGGCCAACCACGGCTCGACTCCAGACCTGGCAGCTTGAAGATCATGCCAGGCACGTGGGCATCTCTGCCCAGAATCTCAAGATGAGAACAGGGAACTGCAGAGTGGCCCTCCCACCTGGGGGGATTTCTCACTTTCCCTCCCTCTGTCTCTCTCTAGGGCACACGCCCTATAGCAAAACCTTAAAAAACTGACAATAGATAACATTAAAATCCCTGACACTGTGACACCCTTGACAGATGACGTCCAGGCCACGTGCTCACACTCAGGTCTGGCCCTCTACTCGAGGACCGAAGACCTCACCCAATGATTTTGCCTTTAAATGTCCATTTCTGAAAAGTGTGACTTAAACTATACAGACAAGTCTTCCCTCAGGAAAAAGCTAACAATGCTACCTCTGTTCAAAAGCATCACACTTCTGACAAGATTGTAAAAATGACCCCACCCCACAGAGCAGGGTCCCCACAGAGGACGTGTCTGAAAATGGAGAGCGGATCTGTGGGTTCACTGCCATGGCTGGACACCAGGGCCATGCACTTCCAACTCTTTTCTTGAGACTTTTTCTAATAATCGTCCCTCCTTTATATAATTTATAGCATAGCTTTTCTGATGATGGCATATTTATATAATTTATAATATTTCTGACATATTCATTGTAGAAAACTTTTAAATACGAACAGGTATAAATGACAAAAATAGCCATAATCTTCATACCCAGAGATATTTGTTGCATTTTCTTCTAGTTTGTTTTACATCCTCCTTTTTTTAATTTTTTTAATTTTTTATTATCATCATAATCTTCTTTATATTACATTGGATTACATATAAC